ATGCCGACGAGACCAATGGCCGCTGCCACCCCGACGCCGTCCGTGTAATGGGAGAGAAGAGAAAGCATTTGCCAACATGACAACAATCATTTCCACTCATCCGCAGTACAGTCTACATAGACAGCCTGCCAGACAGTAACGTGGCAGCATGAGTGGCATCTTGTAAATACTGAGCCACGATATTACACTTACCCCCGAGGATGGAAGTTTTTTTAATATTTAAACGTCAGAACCTTAATGTCGTAGTTACCGTGATCGCGTTTTCGCTATAAACTTATGTGATATTTGTTGAAAATGTTGTCAAATCTACTAACGGATGCAATTCTGATCAGGTACCTGGTCAAACAGCCGACTGGATGAGCTCCGAAAAACTAGTTTTGACCCAGAAATCGAAAGACTAGTGTTGCCAGGCGTGACACGATACATGTATTACTTCAATAATATTGTTAGCCATCATTGTACGCAGAGGAGGGAGGCAAGTTAGAACAAGATTGTTATGAAAAGTATGAAAAACAATTTCAATCAAATACGAAACTATGGTAGTAAATAAATATTTAAATGTCAGTACTCACGCGCTTCAACCATTCATCAAAACTAAGAGGACCTCCCAAGTTGGGCGCTGTAATGGTTGTCTGTGAGGTGGGTGTGGTTTGAGAGGTCGGCGAGGTTGTGGCTGAGGAAAACCCGTACACTGGATAGCAAATCCAATAGAGGGGCTGGTGGCAGTTAGAAGGGGCAGAAGTGGGTGCTCCTGTGAAGCTGTTTTGCGGAGAAGTGGTTGACGGCAAGAGATTGTGAAAGTCGATCGAGGAAGAAACCGGGTTTGTGGGCAGCGAAACATGTTCGACTGACTGTTCGGTGGTAGGCTCTGCAATCGACTCGATAACCTGTGATTTGGCGACCTCAGGATCCTAAAACATTAAATTTGGGAAAAATAAGTAAAGAATCGGTCGAAATACACTTTATACAGTTGATATTTGCTAGTTTTGCGAATAATCACAATGAGAAGGCTCAAATAGGTCAATTGGAAACAAATGGCCTTCTTTTGGCAATTTAGCTAGACCCCCTTTCCAAGTTTTCGTGTGGATGGGTCCTGTACATGTGCAGAACTTATCATTAGTAGCACATCTCCCAAATGTTGAATGCAAACCAGTATTTTAAACTGGAGGCACTTAAAAAGACATTTCAGATTAGCATGTGAATTTAGCACCAGACCAACCATAACAATTACCAGAGTTGAGCAACAACCAGATGAAATTAGTGTGGTGAATGCAAACAGATTGGTGCCAGCAGTATTTGACTGAAGATGTTTACGGATAGTATACTCTTCTAGAAGCAAAAGTTATTTTTCGTCCATTACTCTTACCCAACATCCTGAGATAAGCCACTCTTAACTATTATACCTATGTTACACTTCGAACCCGTTGACTGTTCGAGTTAACATGATAGCTCACTTTAGGTTGCAATGGTAAAATTACTTTGCCAAGAATTGTTCTTAGCCAAAACATGAAAGTTCAAAAGAGGATGATTTAAACGCACTCTAAATGTTAGCTGTGAGGCCACTTCAGAGGCTTCTTTTGACAAACCAGTGGAGGCGCTGGTTAGAGGCAGCAAAAGTTCCTTGGTCGGTCCGCAAACCTCGCAGGTAAAATTTACTGAACTGAAAAAAAATGACGGACAAGTTCCTGGAATAAGCAGTGCTGATGTTCCAATGAAAACTTGCAAAAAATAAAAAGTGAACTGATATGAATGCACTTAGTGGAAGCCAGTTACGTTTTTTTATCGGACTTCGATGAAAATTTTCATACTTTAAATAATCCTGAAAGTGGATATGTTAATGGGGTCTAAAGATTTCGTATTTGTGATCGAAACGTTGCGGGAAAAAGTTTGTGGCTCTGGCACACACACAAAATTGAGGCTAATAAACGCAAGACTAGGAACTCGGATGGTTTCTCGGAGTTAACTGTTTAATGATTGAGCAGACTTTACCTTGCAGCAAGCTTGCATCGCTCCTCTGAAGGCATATCTAGCGCGCCAATTGCGCCTGCACCCGACGTAGGCATGAATCCGATTATCGCTAAGAGGACGGTCCTGATAGACCATGAGGGACGCCAAGTTTCCGGATGGTAACCGGAAATGCTGAGGCAAATCTGCCTGTAGGTCTCGAATCTCCCATTGGGCTTGAATGTGTAATGGTAGAGTTATGAGAATGTAGAGATTAACAGCGAAATTTACTGATATAATGAAAATTCACGAAGGCTTCTAAGGATATCTTGGGAACGTATCACAAAATCTGTGAACGTTCTTTAGTAAAGACAAAAAAGTTGTTGATGCAAGTTGGAAGAGAGAGGTGCTTGTTTTCGTTTATGTGGTTTATTAGAAATCAGTTCACATACGGATAACCCCGAATTCTGTGCAACTTGGAGAACACTACCTGTAATATCCGTCATAAAGTCAAAGAGAATGACGTCAGAAGTAAGTCACTTATCGACAAGTATTGACAAACGGGGAAAGAGCTCGTGAACAGAAGACAGAACTGCTTGGAAAATAAAAGTGAAAAGCAAGACGTTCTTGGTCGTATGTCTTGCTTTGGGCTACTGGGAGAACATATGAGCACGCAAGTACAGTGGTTTTGATAGAGAAATTTATTTTCTAAGGAATGGAATTTGTTGAAAAACTGAGGATTATAATTTACTGATACATGGAAATTCTTATTACGATACCTCCAAGTTACCGCTTTGCAGAACCTATTCGAATTCATCCTTCGTAAACAGCTCGGAGGTATGTGTCCCATAAAGGTCTCGGTTATTATCCAAACTTTCCTTTTCTGATTAGTAGCCACTATGACACTGTTATTATTTAACCAATTTGTTTTAGTGTGGAGGTTAGATTAGTATCTACAATATTCATCTGAGATAATCGAAGATAATACGTCTAATACGCGAACTATTTAATGATGCAGAGTAAATAGCGTGATGTGCGATGCCGACGTGTAGCTATCCATTTATCTAAAACACCCTGGGATTTATGAAATTCACCATCACAGTCGCCAAATGTTCAGCGAAATATATAGGACAAATATGAATTAAATTCACCGTGAGAAGCGTAATGTTGGGCGGTTTTAAGGGGTATTCTGTAGGAAAGCAAATTCTCCCGTGATAGATCCCGCCGGCAAAGTCGCTGTCCTCTTGTCCGCGTATAGTAAAATGCCATTCAAATAAATTATCCTAAGACTGCACATAAGAACAATTTTTACTTCTAAGGGTTGGGCGTAATAAAACTCGGTCGGTTGTCTAAGCTCTTGAGCTTCGCGCATAAGCCTTTTTACAGCTAAAGATAATTGTTTAAAAGGAGAATCTGCCTCACCTGGGCTCCTAGTGTTATACGTCGTCATCCCCCAAAAGCAAACAACCCGCGAACTTAACCCACCGACCAAAACAAGCAGATTACTGGAGCACGTTAAAATTGCAGCTTCTTCTATCGTTCCTGTCATTAAATGGTCCGGAAGTGTTTACTTAGAAAAAACTTATTTCTATGTTTGTACAGGCCTTACACTTCTTTATAGCATTCGTAAGTACAGGGTGTTCCAAAAAATGTATGCACATTTTAAATAAGAGTGAACATGTTGTTTGTTATAATTTTATTATTTCAAAAGGAAAAACTATTTAAAATTATCATTGTATTGTTTTTTTTAATGCACTTTGACTATTGCAACAGTAGCTGAATTGAGTGAAGCCATTGAGCATGAATGCACCCGAATACGAAGGGTATTTTTTCATGGTGTGTGCAGTTCCATTGCTTCGCGTTTTCAGCAGTGTCATGACCAAAATGGACGTCAGCATGAGAACATTTAGTGAAAAACAATAACATGATACTTATAAATACCATTACATTTTTGAAATACTAAAATTATGATAAACACCAATTTTAAAAATATGTAAAAGGCCTATGTATACATGTTTGGGACATACTGTATACCTAATTAAGGACCTATTTAAAACACAATCCTAGTATATTGCTAACTCTTGAACTGAACCTTGCATCTACATTTTTACAACAACTAACGACCTTGGAGCAGACAGCTTTTTGGGCAACTAGGGATAGGCATTAGTCATTCTCAATCTAAATAAGGCCCTATCGGACGAACGGAAAGATTATCCTCACGTCGGTCCCATTAGCGTTTTTATCAATGCAACGGTTCTGCGCGAGTATGTGCTCTTTTCTGAAAGTTTTTTACTTAAAAATCACAGCTATCATTATCATTCATGCAGAAATCCATGGAGAGACAATTTAAGGTTTGGTATTTTTAATAACAGCTTACTGACCCACTTTCACCCTAATAGCAAGTAGGATCCTACGGGAATCCTACAAGTCCACAAAATAGGATTCTACGGGAATTCTACGTGGAACAATTTATAGAATTCTACGGGACGTCTACATTGGGTCCACAATGTAGACCCTCAATTTTTGGCCGGACAGGGGGTACCTCCTTCATCGCGAAAACCCCCCTTTTTTCGAAACG